TGATTGGCCAGCTATCCAGTGCGTTGTGATTGGCCGAATACCTCAAGCGTGTGACGGAAATGTTACGCCCCTCACCATACTGTGATGATGCCCTGTCAGGCCGGAGCGATGATTCAAAAACATGAAAACCCATTATAAACAAGGCATTCGTTGCATCCAGTGGGGACATAATTATGGATTATAATGACTTATACTGTCTTTTTACGCGTTGCGTTGCATCGCGCCGCGTAAACATAAAACCATGTCTGCATTTGTGATCGGAGAAATGACAAACAACAAGCCCTACTCTACACTGCCCAAAAAACTTGCTTTAAATATATAAAATATAAAAACTCTTTAAATATAAAAAACGTACTTGCAGTCTGTGAGTCAAAAGCGCCGGCATTGTAGTCTACTCTCCCAGGATCAGGAAACGGTCCTCCATAAAATGTGCTGCACACATCTGAATAGATGATGAACCACTAATTTCTAGTCGTGTCCATTTTTGGAAAGCCAAATAAAGTAGTTTCGCTTTCACAACGAAACACAGCGTCACACATGGTGGCCTAGAGTGAGCAGAGGCTGGGGGCTAAAGTGAGGAACGGCCGGAGGGCTAGAGTGAGCAGAGGTGGTGGATTCGATGAAGGAACGTCCAGCTGGCTTGCGGCAACCACATGTGGTGACCCCGGGCTGAACTCCGCTTCGTCCACGGTAAAAGCCGATCCAGCGATCCACAGTGCAAAGTTGTAGTATTTCCTCAGCAACCAGCACGGATCAGCTCCAGGCATGATGAAGCAGATATCATCCTCTTTTGGAAGGCCAAACAAAGTAGTTTCACTTTCACAACGAATCACACAGCGTCTTTACGACATGGCGGCGACAACAACAAAACTACAGTGAGAATAAAAGTTACGCCTTCTTCCTTTGCGTGAACATTTGGGTGGCGTTATGCAAATCTTCCCACGTAGTGATGTAGATATGTGGGGGCGTATTAGAACGAGCCGTTTTAGGTAGGCGTGGTTGACTCTTAACTTTTATAAAGAATATCTTTGGATTCAAGACTTTAGTCTTTGCAACTTTACAGATCTTCTTTATGCACCAAGAGCTTGTAGCACTCCAAAGAGAAAGGAAAAATTGAAATCACATCATATGACCCCTTTAACATTAAAATGTAGCATTTGCATTAATAGCGATGCAGTATTTTTGATTATTTTAGATTGTAATGTTTGGCGCCCCCTGCCAATATATTCATGAACTACAAGACAGAAGTAAATTATTTTAAAGGGATAGTTCACCCAAAAATGAAAATTCTGTCATTAATTACTCACCCTCATGTTGTTCCAAACCCGTAAGACCTTCATTCATCTTCGGAACACAAATTAAGATATTTTTGCTGAAATGTGAGAGCTCTCAGACCCTGCATAGACCGCAATGCAACTGTAATGTTCCCAGGTCCAGAAATATAGTAAGGACATCGATAAAATAGTCCATGTGACATCAGTGGCTCAACTTTTGAGAAGTAGAGTGACTCAAGTTTTGAGAAGCTACGAGAATACTTTTTGAGCGCAAAGAAAACAAATATAACTATTTTTTCAACAATTCTCCCCCGAGTTACGTCTTCCGCCATTTTAGAGAGTATCACAGTGCATACGCACGCTTTCCCATAAGCGTAAACAACACCGATTACACAGATTACGTTCATGCGTGCGCTTTCTCCCCCGAATGTAAACAACGCTTATTATGTCGATTACACTCTTGGGTACTCTCCAAAATGGCGGGAGATGTAACTCGGGAGAAGAACTGTGAAATAAATTGTTATTTTTGTTTTCTTTGCGCTCAAAAAGTATTCCCGTAGCTTCGCAAAACTGAAGTTGAGCCACTGATGTCACATGGACTGTTTTACCGATGTCCTTACTACGTTTCTGGACCTGGGAACATGTGTTCCGAAGATGAATGAAGGTCTTACGGGTTTGGAACGACATGAGGGTGAGTAATTAATGACAGAATTTTTGGGTGAACTAACCCTTTAACATTAAAATGTAGCATTTGCATTAATAGCGATGCAGTATTTTTGATCATTTTAGATTGTAATGTTTGGCGCCCCCTGCCAATATATTCATGAACTACAAGACAGAATTAAGTTATTTTTAAAAATGCACATTATTTTTATTTTTAGTGTTTATAAAAAATGTTTGTTCAGGTATGTTGTAAAAACATTGAACAAATTGACTTAAAGTATGTGGCACATTTTTTGCACAAAGTATGACAATTTCTGCTTGAAAAGCTAGGCGTATATTTTTCTTAAACTTTTTCACACTTACAAGCAATTTTAAGGTCTAGAAAATAATTTGATAAGCTCTAGAATAGAATGGACTTTCATGTAGTTAGCATACATTCAAAACTTTGCTGTCAGAGACAAAAGGTTTAGTAAAATTACTCTCAAAATATTGTACTAATGGTCTTTCTTTCTTTTGATTCAGGCAATGAACTTGGTAAGTGTGGATTTGAATTGTGCGAATTATTGTTGACTCCTTACTTTTGCTTTGCTTGGCTGTCCTGCACAGGTTCAGCTTACACTACCATTATAAAGTCCTCTTCTCTGGCCCTGCGGTGTGCATAGATTGCTCATAATTCTTGTGTCAATAATGTGCCTGGCCATTTTGCTCTCTGAAGTTTCCATGTCGTCCCTCTTTTTTGTGATGTACTGCAGATCATACAGGCTATGATTTGTGAAACAACACCACTTATTGTGGTCGTGCTTCCGAGTTAGCTGCGAGTCTTTTTATTATCCACGTTCATTTATTGTGATGCAAGGTGATGTGCTACACACTCAGCCTCTGGAAAACTCGAATGTCATGCCAAACATATAGTTCATTTCTGCTTTCATTTGTGGGGCATAATTTAATATCCTTTAAGAGGGAGCTTGACCAGATTTGGTGAATGACTGGTGAGCTTGAAGACAAAACTGGAATGTAGTTCGAAAACGTGTGTGTTTGTTTGACATCCCTGGCCAGTATGTTGCTTTTGCTTTGCTGGCTGCCTAATAATTGATATCTTTCAGATACCTGTATTGCTTTTGCCTTTTTCCTCTTCTTATTGTAACTAATTCAGAGACTCTTATTAAACATGATTTTAAAAGGCTTAAAGACAGTCTGCATGTTCAGTAACTAATTATTGAAACTTCTACATAATGATAGTGTTCGCAAGGCAGCAGACTAGTTCAAATGAAAATGTACTCACCCTCAGGCCATCCACAATTTAGATGAGTTTGTTTATTCATGGGAACAAATATTGCATGACATCACTTGCTCACCAATGGATCCTCTGCAGTGAATGGGTGCCGTCAGAATGAGAGTCCAAACAGCTGATAAAAACATAACAATAATCCACAAGTAATCCACACCACAGCACTCCAGTCCATCAATTGATGTGTTTTGAAGCAAACGGCTGCCTGTTTGTAAGAAACAAATCCTTCATTAAGGCGTTTTAACTTACATCTGTTGTTTCTGGTCAAAATATGAGTTCATAATCCATAATAACGCTTCCATCCCGTTGTCCTCTCACATCAATGCATACCGTATCAACACATTTCTTTAGAACTGTTTTGATCTGTTTTTTTGTTTGAAATGGTTCTTGATCTGTGCATATTTCTCTCCTGATTCAGACAAGGTGACTTTTTCAATGTAAAAAGCAATATTAAAGATGGGGCTCATATTTCAGCCATAAGTGATGGTTTAAAGTTAAAACTTCTTTGCGAAGGATCTGTTTCTTCCAAACACACAGCTTTTGGCTTCACAAGACATTGACTGATGGACTGGAGTGGTGTGGATTACTTGTGGATTATTGTGATGTTTTTATCAGCTGTTTGGACTCTCATTCTGACGGCACCCATTCACTGCAGAGGATCCATTGGTGAGCAAGTGATGGAATGCTACATTCACCAAATCTTTTCTGATGAAGAAACAAACTCATCTACATCTTGGCTGGACTGAGGGAGATTACATTTTCAACAAATTCTCATTTTTGGGTGAACTTGCTTTAACAATGTTTTCAGCCTTACTTATACTGTATCATTTAAATTTTTATAGACTGCTTTAATAGGCCTATTTTTTATACTTATTTAGATATATAAATTTAAGGTTTAGTTTGAAAATCGTGACATTTTTAGAATGTTCAGCATTCTAAAATCTAACAGCATTTTAATGCACAACTGAAAAAAACAAGACACGTGAAGCCTAAAACATCAACTTACCTGTAACTTTAACGCATTTCCTTTGTTGTCTTGCAAACACTGTAAATGTGAATCCTCTCTGTGATTCATATGGTGCTCTCTGATCTCCTATTGTTTCCCCTTCTTCTCATGCTTTTGTCTTGCTTTATCATAAATCAGCAGGCTGCTTTGCATTAATTAAAATTAACAATGATTTTGTCGGTATTGTCTTGGGATTATTTTGCTCACCTGTGTCACCATCTCCTCAGGATCAAGCGTCCAAAGACAAGGCTCTCCAGAACATGGCAGCACTTTCCTCTGCTCAGATCGTGTCCCCAAGTCTAATCAAAACCTCTCTTCCGCCTCTTCCGCAGTCCCCCTACCACCCGTCTGCACGGGTACGATTTAGATCGTTGTATTTAACCTGGAAGTAACCTTTTGCACAAATTATGGAGCGATTTGATTTTTTTTTTTTCCCACTGCTGTTTTTCCAGTTCTGGCCGACCCCCATCCCAGGCCAACCCGGACCCTCTGAGGAGTGAGTAACTCACGAATTCATACGTGTTTCTCTGTGTGTTTGTGTATCTGGCATGTTTAATGGATCACGTTTTTATGTATCAGGCTGGTTCTTAAGCACAATCCAGGAAGAAGTCCTGGGCTTGGCCGCATCAGCTACGCGTAAGTTCCCTCCACAGAGCTTGAACTGATCTTTCGCTAGAGTTAACATTGATTCACTGCTACGGATGAGGATCTGGTTCAGATTGCATTGACAGTAGTATAATAGGTCCAACCGTTTCAATGACTTATTTGACAGATTCAAACTAGTATCTCTACTATAGTTTTTATTAATATTTTTTAGATTTCCAGTTTTAATTTTATCTAGGATTTTAGTAAATTTGACATTTTTATTACTTTTTGTGTTTTTTAATATTTCTTTTTAGCTTTTTTTTTAATTTCAGTTTTACTTTCAGTTATTTTAGTACTTCAGCTTAAACTTATTTCAGTTAATGGCCATAGCAACATTTCTAATTTTCATTAAATCTTTCGTCTAATACGTCTGTATGCAAGATTACTATGCACTTGGAAAATATAGAAATATTTATATATAATTATGTAACAATACATGATAACATACTAATAGATAATAATACAATAATTTCAGGAAACTTCCTGTGGCTGGAAAAGTCATGAAAGTTATGAAAAACTAACTAAATTGTCCTAGTTATGCTTGGCTCTAAATTATTTAATTATACATTTCTCTGTGCAATGTTATTGAATGGTCTAGTCATTAAAAACAACTGAGAAAGTTGTGGAAATTCATTGGTGGTTTAAAGTAGTGGAACTCTTATTATTCTGTAGCGGCCACTCTTTTTCATCACATTCGGTTCAGATTTGAAGTTCACAGTTTGGCTAAAACTTGGTTAGATTTTACTGCAAATTCAGTAGGGGTGCTGGAAATACCGTTAGAGACCGATTTTAGTATGCTGCTCTGTCTGGGTTCTGCTTTTTACTCCCATCATTATTCACAGGCAGCCTGCTAAACTAATTCCTCTCTACATCGTGGGCTCTGTGGTCTCCGCTTCTGTTGAGATCTCTTGAGCGCGTGTGTTATCAGACGTGAGCTAGCGCACATGACTGTTGTGATGTTACACTCCCACTCTGAAGTAGGTGAACTTACGCTTAGCTGAAACGGCCAAAACAAACAGTTGTGGGATAATTGAAGTGTCAAGGTGTGAAATATGCCACTTTTAAAGCAAAAACAATAACAAAGGGTTCCCACGGTCATGGACAACTGGAAGACACCAGGAAATTTGTGTTTTGTAGGACTGGAAAGTAAAGCGATAACGCACTCAAAAATGAAACTTCGTCATTATTCACTCACCCTCATGTTGTTCCAAACCTGAATGAGTTCCTTTCTTCTGCAACAAAGAAGATATTTTGAACAATGTTGGTAACCAAACTGTTGACGGTAGCTATTGACTTCCATAGTATAGAAATAAATACTATGGAAGTCAATGGCTACCATCAACTGTTTGGTTGAACAGTTTGGTTGAACTTCAAAATATCTTCTTTTGTGTTCAGTTGAAGAAAGAAGGGATGCACCGATGTATCGGCCAAAAATCGCTTTGAACCTATAAAAGCAGTTAGTCGATATTGGTCGATTGTTTAAAAACAGCTGGTGATATATGAAATACTATACGGTCAGCTAGTCATGATCACAAAATAAACCCCAGACAGGGTGATCAGGACCTGAATGTGAAGCGGAGGAGTCTTGATTTTAGCGATAATGACTGGCTTATTGTCCATTGTGTATTTCACAACTACATACTGGACAAGATGTATTGATTTCAAAAAGAAATGTTGATTCCATTTTCAGAGTATATATTTGAAAATCTTGACCATTAATAAAGTGAATATACATTTTTCTAGTTATCCTCTGCTCCGGAATATTAATTAAATTAATAATCAGCTGGATATTGCTATTGTCTAGCATAAGACTTGTTTACAAGCCATACTGATGTTTGATTTGTGAGTGAATCATTTTTTGACTCGTTCTTTGCATTCGATTCAGTTGAACTGGTTCACCAATCAGTCTAAATGATTCAATTACAAATTACAGGTGCATCTCAATAAATTAGAATGTCGTGGAAAAGTTCATTTATTTCAGTAATTCAACTCAAATTGTGAAACTCATCTATTAAATAAATTCAATGCACACAGACTGAAGTAGTTTAAGTCTTTGGTTCTTTTAATTGTGATGATGTTGGCTCACATTTAACAAAAAAAACACCAATTCAATCTCAACAAATTAGAGTACTTCATAAGACCAATAAAAAAAGCATTTTTAGTGAATTTTTGGCCTTCTGGAAAGTATGTTCATTTACTGTACATATACCCAATACTTAGTAGGGGCTCCTTTTGCTTTAATTACTGCCTCAATTCGATCATCACAATTAAAAGAACCAAAGACTTAAACTATTTCAGTCTGTGTGCATTGAATTTATTTAATACACAAGTTTCACAATTTGAGTTGAATTACTGAAATAAATTAACTTTTCCACGATATTCTAATTTATTGAGATGCACCTGTAGTTTCATCGAAATGATTTTTAACAATCCTTATCCAGTAGTCGCAAGTGATTGGAAATGGTCAAAACGTGTGGGAACCCTGATAAGGTGTTGTTTAACCCAAGTAAATAATCTTTCATGTGCAAAATAACTTTGATTCTAACAAATCCTGAACGCTTTTTCAGCATCAAGCCATTTGCACAAACTCCTTACCCAAACCTATCAGGACCTGTTCAACCACCCTTATGTAAGTATACTAGTGCACTATTCCATTTCAAGCACAGCCCACCCCACTCCAGTTTCTTCTGTTTATGTGCATGGTTGAGTCTTAACTGGCGCCCCCTTGTGTTTGTGCAGCATATGAGCCTCTGGCCCCTCCTCTCCCGCCGGTTGCCACCGCAGTGCCCGTATGGCAGGATCGCACCATCGCCTCCTCCAAACTACGTCTTCTGGAGTACTCCGCGTTCATGGAGGTCCCGCAGGACCAGGACTCTGTGAGTAGACAGGAGCCCTCCACAAATATGCTTATCTAGAGAGTTAAGGGGAGAGTGACATGGATGAGTGTGGTTAAAAAAAAAAGGCTGAGTAAAGTGCGGCACTGTGTTCTTGTACGTGCTAATGATCCGACGTTTGCAGCGTCTCAGAGTGGCCTGGTTCACAGTAAATGCTGCTTCACACGAAATCCATCTCCAAATTAATATGCATTTGGGAACTCATCATGCGCCAACTAGTTCCCAAACTTGTGATGAGAAGCACATACAAACAGCTGTTGTCAACAAAAGAGAATCTTGTAGGCTCCCTGTGGTTTTCCAACCAAAATGAAATCTAGATGGTTTAATGTTTGAAAATGTGGAGATTAAGACACAAATATTAAATATAAATATTATCATTGTAATTGTACAGTTGAATTGCAAAATAAATTGTTTTAAATTATAATAATTTAATAATTTTTTTACTTGGTAAAAACTACAATAATATTTCTTATATTCTTATTACTTAGTAATAATAATATTAGGGCTGCCAAATGATTAATCGCATCCAAAATAAACGTTTTTGTTTACTCAATATATGTGTGTACTGTGTATATTTATTATGTATATATAAAGACACACACATACAGTATATATTTTGAAAATATTTACATGTATATTTTTACATATAATTGATATTATATATAAATATATTTAATATATAAACATTACCTATTTTTCTTAAATATATACATGCATGTGTTTGTATTTATATATACATAATAAATATACACAGTACACACACATACAGTATGTTATGTGAACAAAAACTTTTATTTTGGATGCGATTAATCGCGATTAATCGTTTGACAGCACTAATAATAATCAATAAAATAATAATAATTATTATTATAGTCATATTAATATATAATTACAACATTTCTGGCCAAATTTGCAGCCCTACAAATAAGCACAGCAAGCCTGGAGCATTAAAAAAAATATAATGCATTTATTAATAAACTTTTTATTAATAAAAAATAAATAATAATCATTTTAAACACACAAAAAAAATCTGAATTAATGAAAATGTTTTCATTCTGTTAATTTACAAAAAAATTAAGTATATTAATAAGAAAATTTGATTCCATTTTCAATTTCATGGTATAAATTATGAATATACTGTATAAATCATAAACATTATACATTTTTCTAGCTATCGTCTGCTACAAATTATTAATTGAATTTATAATCAGATATTGCTCTTCGTCTTAAGTATGTATCAACGTAACTGTTTCAGTGAAAAGTTTAATTGATGAATACTCAAGAATTTCTTAGTATTTGGTCTGTCTCCTTTTGCTCTAACTACATTGTTGCTGACTTAGAGACATTTGAATGAATTCACTTGTTTTTACATATTCATATTTCTTCTTTCAAAATGAGACAGGTATAGCATAGACTAACTTTATTAAAACCAATAGTGATAGCATACAGAAACACAGACGGCTCACAATATATTTGACGTTGTCTTTTACAGTACAGCAAACACCTGTTTGTTCACATTGGCCAGACCCACCCCTCCTACAGCGACCCTCTGCTGGAGGCGGTGGACATCCGACAGATCTACGACAAGTTCCCCGAGAAGACGGGAGGACTCAAGGAGCTGTACGAGAAGGGCCCTCAAAACGCCTTCTTCCTCGTCAAATTTTGGGTGTGTGCATGTCGTTTATGTCAATAAGCACGTACACCTTCACAGAAAAGCACTATTTTGGCACATGTGCTTCTACAAACACGACTGATTCCTCAAATCATGCAGCTTGAATCTAGTTGGTTGTAGCTAGTAGTTTGTGTTTCTGTCTCAGGCGGATCTGAACAACAGCGGCGTTCAGGATGGACCGGGCTCCTTCTACGGAGTCAGCAGTCAGTACAGCAGCTCAGAGAACATGACCATCACCGTCTCAACCAAAGTCTGCTCTTTCGGGAAGCAAGTGGTGGAAAAAGTGGAAGTGAGTGAGAGCAGCATTTAACTGACTGACTGAAAAGCGCTAGCGTTTCTCGCATCTGACCACATTTCTTTTGGACTTACAGACAGAGTACGCTCGTGTGGAGGGAGGCAAGTGTTTGTATCGAATCCATCGCTCTCCCATGTGCGAATATATGATCAACTTCATCCACAAACTCAAGCTCCTGCCTGAGAAATACATGATGAACAGCGTATTAGAAAACTTCACCATCTTACAGGTAAAAGACTGTTAACAGTCTGTCATGTTTATATGGATCTGTATTGTTTTATAGGCAAGTAATTTTTCCACCTAAAGAAATGGAAAAATCATTTTCATAACACATTTAAAATGAGGAATATCAATGATATTGATATAAAGTTAGCGTGCGAATATATGATCAACTTCATCCACAAACTCAAGCTCCTGCCTGAGAAATACATGATGAACAGCGTATTAGAAAACTTCACCATCTTACAGGTAAAAGACTGTTAACAGTCTGTCATGTTTATATGGATCTGTATTGTTTTATAGGCAAGTAATTTTTCCACATATATATATATATATACACTTATTTTTATGTTTATTGCTTGTAAATAGTAATCAAAATCAATATTTTCTAAAGGCTATTTACCTTTGTGAAACATGTCAGAATTGAACTTCTGTAATAGAAATGCTGTCTTCAGAGATGTTGAGTGTTTTTCTTCTCTGTTTGACCTGCTGCAGGTGGTGACCGACAGGGAAACCCAGGAGACTCTACTGTGTATAGCGTTTGTATTTGAAGTGTCTACGAGTGAACACGGGGCACAATACCACGTCTATAGACTCATTAAAGACTAGCACCGCAGCCGCTAGCTGTTCTGACAGCAGACTTCTGTTGCTTTGCACCGTCTCTCCGTCACACGTATGGAGGAATATGCCAAATTGTCCAAACATCGGAGGAATACGCCTAAATGTTACAACAAAAAAAACAAATGTTTTGCTTTTGTTCTAAACCTGGTACAGAATTTGAGTCTTTGAGGACATAAAAAATATAGTATTACTCTGTTAAAAAAAAAATTTTTTTGTTTTTGTTTTTTAATGCCTTAAATACAAAATGGGTCATGTTGGTTTTGTTGCATATACAGATCAAAGATGTCTTTTTAAGCTTTGTTGTGTCTCCACGGAGGGAATGTGAATGTGTTTCGATGGGAAAGAAGGTCATGAAAGACAATGTGTGCCATTTATGCAGCATTTTACAGTGATTTAAGGGTGAATCTCACAAAGAAATGTCTCATTTTACCCTAAAATCAGAAGGAAAAATATATTCCATATGCATATTTTGAATAAAGAAAATGAAGGCAATTTTTAGGACCAATTTTGCATGTTATTTTCATGATCCACACTTTTTTTTTCTCTCTAAATTTTTATTATAATGCAAGAGAAAATGCTATTCTCATTACTCTTAAAACAGTCATTTTTAAGAATGAAAATTAGCTCAAAGGCAATGCTTTTCGGCATTACAGTAAAAAGATTTGGGAAGCAATATGATTAATGTTCTTTAATATAATGTCATAATGCAAAAAAATATATATATATTAATAATAAAAAAATAGGCTTGTTTTCTTTATGCATTTTTTTTTCATAAAGAAATATTTTAATTATATTTTTTCTTTTGATTTTGGGGTGAAATATGACCTGGACATGTTCTTGCCAGGTTTGTGAGGTTTACCTGATTTGTAAATGAGGACCAGGTCAGTCGGCCAGCAGAGGGTTTGCCTTTTTCTGGCCTTTATTCAACTGAATAACTGCAGATGTTACTTAAGTTTCATCGGCTGTCCTTTGAACAAGAGAAAAGGCGTCCGAAACGGTTTTGCAGGTACTAAAGGATTTTGAGTAGTTGACCCAAATGTGAGTGCCTTCCTTCAAAGAACACAAATCGATTGATACTCTGAAGTGCCTTTTGACTACCTCTTGACGTAAAATAGTAGGAATAGATAAAGCGATCAATTTCTTTATGCTACGACATGACAAAGTATTTAACTCCGCTGTTCATCGAAGCTTTCGCGAGATGCATGAACTGAGGAAAGGTCAGATTGTTTAAAAGTCAAGTGTGAGTGTTACTCTGGTACAAACAAAGTGCTGCCCGTCGAGATTTTAAACATTTAATCCTGGAACAATACCTCCATAGAGTTTGTTTGATGTCTTTTTAAATCAGAGGACGTTGCATTGCTGTCATATCTGGTGCTTTTTAAACCCTTGAAGAGAATGGTTGCATTTCCAAGCTGTTTCTTACTCATTTTTATCTTCACGATATACCTGCACTGTGTACCCTTTTTTTCTTTTTTTTGCATCAAGTACATTTTTCTTGGAATTACATGTCGGATGTTTAGTTTTGAGTTAAAGCATCCGTTTTTTTGTTTTTTTTTTACCTGGTGTTAAAGGGATAGTTCACCCAAAAATGAAAATGTGATGTTTATCTGCTTACCCCCAGGGCATCCAAGATGTAGGTGACTTTGTTTCTTCAGTAGAACACATTTGATGATTTTTAACTCCAGCCGTTGCAGTCTATCAATCGTATAATGCATGGCAATGGTAACAAAATCTATGAGAGTAAAAAAAACATGCACAGACAAATCCAAATTAAACCCTGCGGCTCGTGACGACACATTGATGTCCTAAGACACGAAACGTTCGGTTTGTGCCAGAAACCGAACAGGATTTATATCATATTTTACCTCTAATACACCACTATGTCCAAATGCCTTGGGCGCGCGTACGGCATCCGGTGTGTGAGGTGTGTACGTGCTCTGGCGTAGTTTACGCAAGTGCCGGAAGTGATCTCTCGCGTGTATACGTCACTCATTGTTTACACAGTGCACAGTCATTGTAGGTAAGACGGCTAATCAAAATGGTACTTACTTGCGCTTATCCGGATTGTTCAAACCGACTTAAAACTAAAAGATTACGTTCTCTCGCGCGAACTCATTCGGGAGTGGTGACTGTCCACGTATTCCCAACTTCTGAGCCTGCTCGCCTGAAGATATGATTGATTGCTCTTCGGCTGGACATAGTGCTGTATTAGAGGTAAAATATGATATAAATACTGTTCGGTTTCTGGCACAAACCGATCGTTTCGTGTCTTAGGACATCAATGTGTCGTCACGAGCCGCAGGGTTTAATTTGGATTTGTCTGTGCATGTTTTTTTTTACTCTCATAGATTTTGTTACCATTGCCATGCATTATATGACAGATAGACTGCAACGGCTGGAGTTAAAAATCATCATATGGGTTCTACTGAAGAAACAAAGTCACCTACATCTTGGATGCCCTGGGGGTAAGCAGATAAACATCACATTTTCATTTTTGGGTGAACTATCCCTTTAAAAGTGTAAAAGGGAAAGTCATTAGCGTCACCCTGTACATCAGCACAGATGTGTGTTCTTATGGTTTGTGCATCTCTTTGAATCTCATTTTTTAGATGATATTAAGAATGCACCAGGTGTTCGACATGAAATTACATAAATATGCCATTTTATCAGTGCTTAATGGAAATCATGTTTTGCTACTACTGAAAATGTAATGTTTATTCCCAGTAGAGAACTAAAAACTTGAATTTTAGACCAGATTCGATGTTTCAAATGCCTGTTTTTGTTGAAGCCATGTAGCATTTTTGTTCCACTCGCCCCTAAAATTGAAAGATGGCACCGTTTGAATGGACAATGTTCTTGGGATGGTTATTAGACATGAGATGGTGCTCGCTGATAGCAGTTTTATGTCTAGATGCGTTCTGAAGGTACTGCGAAATTTTGGGTACACCTTAAAAATGGAAATGTAATGTATATTGGTACAGCCTTAACCTACTTTTTCGTGTTTGAACTTCAATGACGACAGTTTCCTCAATTGTATTTTTTCTTACAGGCTTCCTTATAATTATTATTATTCTAATTATTAATTTTATGTTTGCTCTTTGACTTTCGATTGATGCTATATGCATACATTGGAAATGTTGTGTGTTACTGTTATTTTATGCCATAATCTAAGTGGAGTTGGCAAAAGCTTTCCCCTTGTTTTTAACAGTTCACTGTGGCCTTTGTTACCAGTTGTGCATTGCAGTTATGTATATCTTCAATGTTAGGGGTTTGTACAGTATAATCAAAACAATGTATAGCAATACCAATAAAATGGCATGGGTCTCCTTGGACCATATTTCTTAAAACACACTTACAACTTTGTACAAGTGTCTTATTGTACAAGTGCCAAAAGGGACTGCCGATGAAAATGAGCCAGTGTTGGCTAAATCTGGCGTATTTTACATATTGTATGTACTATTAATGTGCATTGTCCCTGATTAAATAAATAAATGAAAATGAAATTCTCTTTCGCATCAACGAGGATGACAAAATCTTCATGGAAGCAGAAAAGGAACGAGATATATTTGTGTCTGACATTCAGTAAAACGGAGTTAACATGATTAGTGTTTTGTAGTTAATTCTCATCATCCGCTTCCATCAGTTGCAGAAGTTCTTCCTTTAGAGGGCACTTCAGACAACTTTAACTCTAAAAAATTATTTTGGTTAAATGTAGGCTATTCATTCTTAAGCACGAATAAAGACCTCCGAGCAAATAGCCTAATTTTAAAATAATTTACCCCGAATTTAATAGCTATTTAATTGAAATTACTCAGTGAATATTTAAAATATGCCGATTAATATTTTGAGCCATTGTTTTTGTCCAAACAGAGTCAATAATAAGCGAGCGTTTCTAAGAAAAACTCATTTTCCCAGCATTCCATTCGACGTGGCGTATGACGTTCAGCGTTCCCGCGTTTATCAAGTTTAGTTCATTTGCTACAAAGTAGCTTTTGCATAAAAACAAACACTGTATTGCAAAACTCGATACAAACTCTTGTGTCAGTCACGGGAAGACGCTTTATTTTGCGCTCAGCAGTTGAGAGATGAACACGTTTTCTCATTTTACAAATTAAAAGTTTAAAATTAAATATCCATCAGACGCGTGTGATAAAGCCGAACGACTTGGCTTTTCTACAGACGACATCCAGGTCAGTGGCAGACGAGGAAGCAGCGGCCTGACTGTACTGTAGCCGATGGACAGGATATGATACACACTGAGCTCACGAGAGTTTGTTTCTAACGTCGAGATCAGATTTGCATTGATAGCGCCAAACTCTGTCGAGTGTAAAGGTAAGATCAGATCTCTTAACAGCGTTTAATTACATGCATTCTGCAGCATTTGAGCACAGATGATACGTGCTGTGATGTTTTGTTATATAATGCAGTGACAGTCGTTTTTGAAAAAAAATAACTGAAATGATTTTAGCAAATGGCTGCAATATCACAAAGAGTGAAAAATTTAAGGGGGTCTGAATACTTTCCGTACCCACTGTATATTGCATCATATGCTTGCACAGTAATCTACCTAACTGTAGTCATTTTATAAACCTTGACATTTACTGAAAATACCACAATGCGTTTTAATGTTAGGAACCGCTGCACCTGCAATAACTTACCTGTTCATTTGTTGACTATATATATATATATATATATATATATATATATATATAGATAGATAGATAGATAGATGAATATGAAATTTTATATGAAAAATGTTTACCATAAATCATTGTATTGTAATGGTACACAAAAACCATGGGTGTACTCAGGCCTGGCTCCAGATATGAGGAGAAGGGTGGGCTTTAGATTTTATAAAAAAAATTAAATTAAAATAGGCCAGATCTTATAAAACAACTACTTACATCACTATAATATTTACAACACTATTGTGTTATGTTATGTAGTATTTTAATGAATTAGCTTGTATGACACCAACATTTAAGAAGCCAGTTAAATTTGTACAATTCTTAATTCCAATTTCAATAAAACAGCAAAAACTACAAGCCTAACAAAAATAAGGATAGGTCGTCGTCATTAAAGACGAGTCAATAAAATAAGTACTAATAAACAAATTACTAGCATCAACACAAATAAATAAACAGAACTAGGGCTGCACGATAAATCGAAATGGAATGGAGATCGTGATTCGACAGAAGCTGCGATTGTCATGCGTATCTTTCAGTGAAGCACGGTTCTGTGATCAGCAGTAAATCTTCGACAGAAGCTGCGATTGTCATGCGTATCTTTCAGTGAAGAAAACACCAGAATAAGATTCTCTGGTCTGATGAGACCAAGATATAACTTTTTGGCCTTAATTCTAAGCGGTATGTGTGGAGAAAACCAGGCACTGCTCATCACCTGTCTAATACAGTCCCAACAGTGAAGCATGGTGGTGGCAGCATCATGCTGTGGGGGTGTTTTTCAGCTGCAGGGACAGGACGACTGGTTGCAATTGAGGGAAAGATGAATGCGGCCAAGTACAGGGATATCCTGGATGAAAACCTTCTCCAGAGTGCTCAGGACCTCAGACTGGGCCGAAGGTTTATCTTCCAACAAGACAATGACCCTAAGCACAGAGCTAAAATAACGAAGGAGTGGCTTCACAACAATTCTGTGACTGTTCTTGAATGGCCCAGCCAGAGCCCTGACTTAAACCCAATTGAGCATCTCTGGATAGACCTAAAAATGGCTGTCCACCAATGTTTACCATCCAACCTGACAGAACTGGGGAGGATCTGCAAGGAGGAATGGCAGAGGCTCCCCAAATCCAGGTGTGAAAAACTTGTTGCATCTTTCCCAAAAAGACTCATGGCTGTATTAGATCAAAAGGGTGCTTCTACTAAATACTGAGCAAAGGGTCTGAATACTTAGGACCATGTGATATTTCAGTTTTTCTTTTTTAATAAATCTGCAAAAATGTCAACAATTTTGTGTTTTTCTGTCAATATGGGGTGATGTGTGTACATTAATGAGGAAAAAAAATAACTGAAATGATTTTAGCAAATGGCTGCAATATCACAAAGAGTGAAAAATTTAAGGGGGTCTGAATACTTTCCGTACCCACTGTATATTGCATCATATGCTTGCACAGTAATCTACCTAACTGTAGTCATTTTATAAACCTTGACATTTACTGAAAATACCACAATGCGTTTTAATGTTAGGAACCGCTGCACCTGCAATAACTTACCTGTTCATTTGTTGACTATATATATATATATATATATAGATAGATAGATGAATATGAAATTTTATATGAAAAATGTTTACCATAAATCATTGTATTGTAATGGTACACAAAAACCATGGGTGTACTCAGGCCTGGCTCCAGATATGAGGAGAAGGGTGGGCTTTAGATTTTATAAAAAAAATTAAATTAAAATAGGCCAGATCTTATAAAACAACTACTTACATCACTATAATATTTACAACACTATTGTGTTATGTTATGTAGTATTTTAATGAATTAGCTTGTATGACACCAACATTTAAGAAGCCAGTTAAATTTGTACAATTCTTAATTCCAATTTCAATAAAACAGCAAAAACTACAAGCCTAACAAAAATAAGGAGAATCGAGATCGCGATTCGACAGAGGCTGTGAGTGTCATGCGTATCTTTCAGTGAAGCACGGTTCTGTGATCAGCAGTAAATCTTCGACAGAAGCTGCGATTGTCATGCGTATCTTTCAGTGAAGCACGGTTCTGTGATCAGCAGTAAATCACCATCCAAAGGCCAGAGGGCGCTCTCGCGCTGAAGCTCCAAATACACCTCGCAGAAGAAACCCAGAAAATTCCAATCGCTGCAGCTGAATAAACAGAAGATTCAACTGCTTTCATTGATTCAACGTGACTAATAAACACACGACTACGGCAATATACGGTTTATCTGAGTTCTTATTATTGTAATTTTCATTAAAATAAAGTATATTTATAATGCAATGCCTTTATCACTGCTTAAATACTGTGAAATATGTTGCGTGCCTTATTCTGTGTAAGAAGCTACATCTCACAGAAGGATTTATTTCAAACACTCGACTGACATTATGAAGTGAGTTTGGAGTAAAAATGTTATTAAATGTGGTATTTTCACATGCTTTCAGATGGAGCAGGGTTTACTTCACAGAGCTGTAGTTCACTGAGAAGCTATGCAAACAGCTGTCATTATCGGGAATAAGTTCTTCGATTTCAGAATCGCGCAATAAAATTGTCTGGGATTTTTTTTTTTATTTTTATTTTTTTTTTTTTTGCACATAACTTGTCAGTGAACTACGGCTCTGTGTAGTAAATTCTGCTCCATCTGAAAGCATGTGATGATGATGATTTCCTGCTGATTACAGAACCGGCATTACTAACAAAATGCGCATGACAATCGCACTCGATTAATCGTGCAGCCCTAAACAGAACAAAGATGCAAATTAAACACTGCTTTACTGCTTTTAAAGATACAAATTAAACCCTGCTTTAAGTGTTTTTTTTTTTTTTTTTTTTTTTTTTTTTTTTTTTTTTTTTTTTTTTTTTTTTTTTTTAGGCTTGTAAATTGAATAATCAAATGTAAAATTGCTAACACTACATAGTTGTGACTGTATAAATTAAATAGATTGATCATTGTTAAAGCTAAAAAAAATTGTATTCAGTCAAGAGCAGTGAGTGATTTTCTCACTCTCTCACTTTCTTGGATTAACATTAAGGACACCGGCAGCAGCTGGTACAGGAAATTAGGCGAGGTCCCTTTAAGAGAGAACGCATCAGACTGCTTTCTCAACTGCTTTCTCAAGACATGACATAAGGATCGTGAGTTATTTATATATATATATATATATGTGTTTGTTTATTTTGTGGAAGCGGGCTCCCGTAAAACACTGATTGTAACATTGGCCCAATCACTGGTCTGTCTGCTATCAGCAGTAAACACAGATCCTCCCGGCGCCGTTCAGTGCTCATGCAGCAGCTGTGTCTGTGTTTACTGTCCCTGGATGATCATAACGCTCCAGCAAGTGCTGTTGCTTACTTGTGTAAAATAAATATGGACTGATATACTGTCATCACAAACACACGCTGCCATTGAGATTCAGCTTAGGAAGTATGTAAAACTGCTGGGAGTTTATGTTGGAAGGATCTTTGGGGATTTGTGAGAATCTAGTACCATAAAAATACCATGCTACTTTATTTTAGTGTATGATGTGCCATAATATTACTATAGTAATGACAATACCATGTTATTTTGATGTATTTCATGGTACGTGTGGCAAAAAAAAACATATTAGTGCCATAGTACTTTTTTTTTTTTTTTTTTTTTTTTTTTTTTTTTAAATTAAGGGATGGTACTGCTACAATACTATTAATTTGAGATAGATAGATATATATGAGACATAAATTAGAATTTGGAAGAGAAAGTTAGAAATGCAAGATAAAAAGTCAAAAACTTTATTTTAATCATTAAAAGAGACACTTGCATTGAATGTGCTTTCAGTGTATATAAAATCACTTTTGATCATTAATTTGATGCAGACACCAAAATGGGATGTCTCATCTTTGACCCATATACATATAATTTTTAATTAATATTTTTATAAAACTTTTATGTTTTTATATATATGTATATGTATATGTATATATATATATATGTATGTGTGTGTGTGTATATGTATAGTATTCTGATGTTAGTATAATATATACTGCATGTACATGTGTATATATATATGCATGCGGGTGTATATACAAACACACAAGGTTATCTTTGCAGTCACTCTGCAGGGTGTGTTGTGTACTGTAAGTGTCACCATGGCAACACAGTGTGTGGACCTTTGACCCTCGGGATTGAGGTGGAGCCATGATGCTATCCAGCAGCATTTAAAGCTGGGCTTTATGATTTATGAATACTGTGTGTCAGACGAGTGCTTCTGTCTGTGGATTTACTCTGGCTCAAAGGTATTTCAGTTACTTGTATGGCTTCTTATGGTTACTTTCTCTCAGAACGCTACGGACTAACATGCACCAGTCTGGCTTAATGCAGATGTTTTAGCTGGTCCGGTAAATATGAAATATATAATTTTTTAGATTGGTGAAGTGGTTGTTGTTGTTGATGATTATTAATTAATTTTTATTGTATTTTATATTTTCTACAATATGTTTCATACATAAAGGTATACCTGGTGTCTCACTCACCCAATAAACGTTTAGTTCTCTAGGTTTTTCTGTGCAGTATTTTGTGTAAACGGTTTCAAGCATACAGTGACGCTCATTCTGAGAAATTCACAACTGAATCAAACGGTTTTGTTTTGTGTGTTGGAACTGGTTTGAGCTTAAACTGGATTCTCTCATTTATCCTCAGACTGGCTGTCACAATCCCATAAGACTCATCGCCATGACAACCTCAGCACCAATCAGATTCCGCGTCTTCTCTCTCAACTGCTGGTGAGTTTCACTCTTCACGTTTCATTTAGTTGAAGAAATACAGCATTCTCATATTCCTAAATTGTATTTCCAGATCCTGCTGAGAATATTTTATAGGATTTCAGCATAACACAAAACAAAAACTACATCTGGATGGATAGATAGATAGATAGATAGAGCAAGAAAGAAATAAGTATCCCGATACTAAAATAATTCTGGTTCTTACACATTTTTAATTAAATTAAAATAAATTTTTTGAGTTATACATAAATATTTTTTCAAGTGTTTTATTTTCTCTGAAATTTAAAAATGAATATCTTTGCACTGAATTTCTATTATTAACTAATAATTTACTACGAATTATCCATGAATGCAAGATCGTAGTGTAAAGGCGCGTGTAAGCCTATTTAGTTTGTTGTGATTGTTTTAGGGGGATCCGATACCTCAGTAAGAACTGCAAAGAGCGATTTGTTCGGATCGGAGACCTGCTGAATCAGGAACAGCTTGATCTAGCGTTACTGCAGGAGGTAAAACAAATACACATGTACATGCACAGATGTTTAAACGCAGCCAAATACATTCTACATGCATAAAATATGGCTATTCGTAATACTTTTAGTGTCACAGTTATTCCACACATCGGGTTTTTAAAAATGATTTATACTCGTTACATTAACTGTTTGAACAATAAGATTCAAATATGTCAGTAGATAGTTTTTTGTACTGTAAAATGGCATGTTTTTTTGGGGCTGTTTGTTATAGGTCTGGTGTGAAAGAGACTTTCTGTTTTTAAAGAAGAAGCTTAGCAGCATCTATCCGTATTCCCATTATTTTAAAAGGTCAGTCATGATCTATAATGCATGAAAATGATACACAACAATGTTTTTACTAGAGGTTCTGTGTCCCTGAAAAGTTTGGGCTTGAATGCACTAACTGATATGAATAAGGACACAGATAAAGATGCATTTTCTTGTCTTCAGTGGATTTATAGGGAGCGGATTGGCCGTGTTTTCCAGACATCAAATCCATGATGCCTTTCTGTACAGATACTCATTAAATGGATATCCATACATGGTGAGTCTGATCAATCGCATGCACTAACATCGTGCTCTGTTACTTAATTATAAAAATAAAGACTGGAAAAACGTTTAATTCAATAATACTATTTAACACACGCCATGTTTGTTTCCTGTACTATATATTTAAGCATGTTTGCAACACAGCACACCCTTGAGCAGTGTTGGGGAAAGTTACTTTTAAAAGTAATGCATTATTGCGTTACTCCATAACAAAGTAACTAATTACGTTACTTGGTTACTTTTTATGGAAAGTAATGCGTTACGTTACTTTTTAAGTCTGGACAAGGCTTGCTTGTTTGTTTTTAAAATATAAAAGCCTTTTCACACCAAAGGTGAAATGAATAAGCCTCAGGCTGAAGGGAAAGTACATTTACGTCCGTACAGTAGAATGCAGAAGAAGAAATCTCAACACACTTCAGCAATAAAAAAAAGACACACAAATGTTTGTCTAGAGTAATTTGTGCTTATTAGTACGGTTGAACTGGATCATCGAAGCTCAGAAGCAAAGACATTGGTTTATAGAATGGGATTAAATACATAAAGCATATTTGTGTTGTTTAACATTTAATTATTGCAGGTTTGCGTCATATCCTGAGTTGCATAATTTTTATTCATTTTGAGGAATACTGAATTTGTTTTTTTTTTGTGGGTGAGATTAATTAATGCATATTCGTATTTATTTTATAACTACAGTCACATCTTCTGATTTCTCTCACCATGGCAACACCAGAGCTGTCAATCAATACATTGGGGAAAAAAAAGAACTTGCGTTGCTTATTTGAAAAAGTAACTCAGATATTTTCTTGTAAATGAAAAAGTAATGCGTTACTTTACTAGTTACTTGAAAAAAGTAATCTGATTACGTAACTCGCGTTACTTGTAATGCGTTACCCCCAACACTGCCCTTGAGTGCCGTATTGTTTTCATAAAATACTTACTACTATGCATAATAAAAATATGTATTTAAACAGTATTTTTATGCAGATTGTCACCTTAACCAGCCAAACCCTGGCCCTGTGTAACGTAAAAGTGTGCCTCTTATAGACACATACTCTCTACCTGTTGTAAATAAACAGTTTTATGAGACATTTATGTGGCCTCAGTTTCTGTGTGGTTGGTCTGATGGCTTGTTAATGATCTATTCTCATATCAGGCACAACATGGTGACTGGTTTGGTGGGAAAGCTGTCGGGAAGGTCTTGTTTAACACCAATGGGCTGAAGATTCATGTTTTTGTCACTCATGTAAGTTCATGGCATGCATAATGCGATTATCAGTGTTATTTTAGTATTATTTATTTACTATTGTAGTATTTAATAACATTTTTATTTTTGTATTATATATATTTATTATTTTAGTGTTTATTATTGTTATTTTTTATATTTTCAGTTTTCATTTTAGTTTAAGTTTTAGTGATTTTGTTTTGTGCTTTTGTCATTTTTTTTATTTCTGTTTAGCTTTTATTTTTATTTCAATTTTATTTCATTTCAGTATTTCATCTAATATCTCTTTCATTTCAGCTACATGTCGAATGAATAAAATGTTTTATAACTTGTATTTAGTTTCCAACACTGGCATGAATGCTGGCACATATGTTTGTGTGTTTATACCCTGTGTTACAGCAGATTCTTCTCTTCACAGCTGCATGCAGAATATTGCAGAGAGAAAGACTCGTATCTCCCGCACCGAGTGGTTCAAGCCTGGGAGCTGCAACAGTTCATAAGGTGCTAAACGTCTGGTATATTTACCCATGGCTGCAGGTTTATTTTCAAGTCTAATATAGGTTTCAATTGCTTAGTTCTTCAATAACAGCCTCTTTGTATAACTGCATCTCATTGCAACAGATTCAAAAAGCCTTTTGTCTCACAAATCAGACTTTTTTTCTTGCAATATTGAGTTTATCTCTCGCACTTTTTTTTTTCTCAGTTCGGGCTTGCATAAATAACACTTACGACTGACTGTCTTTTTCCATAAAGGCACACTAGTGCTGCAGCGGACGTGGTGATCATGGGTGGAGATCTGAACATGCACCCCCTGTGTAACGTAAAAGTGTGCCTCTTATAGACACATACTCTCTACCTGTTGTAAATAAACAGTTTTATGAGACATTTATGTGGCCTCAGTTTCTGTGTGGTTGGTCTGATGGCTTGTTAATGATCTATTCTCATATCAGGCACAACATGGTGACTGGTTTGGTGGGAAAGCTGTCGGGAAGGTCTTGTTTAACATCAATGGGCTGAAGATTCATGTTTTTGTCACTCATGTAAGTTCATGGCATGCATAATGCGATTATCAGTGTTATTTTAGTATTTATTTACTATTGTAGTATTTAAAAAAAAAATATTTTTGTATTATATATTTATTATTTTAGTGTTTATTATTTTTATTTTTTATATTTTCAGTTTTCATTTTAGTTTAAGTTTTAGTGATTTTGTTTTGTGCTTTTGTCATTTTTTTTTATTTCTGTTTAGCTTTAATTTATTTTTATTTCAGTTTTATTTTATTTCAGTATTTCATCTAATATCTCTTTCATTTCAGCTACATGTCGAATGAATAAAATGTTTTATAACTTGTATTTAGTTTCCAACACTGGCATGAATGCTGGCACATATGTTTGTGTGTTTATACCCTGTGTTACAGCAGATTCTTCTCTTCACAGCTGCATGCAGAATATTGCAGAGAGAAAGACTCGTATCTCCCGCACCGAGTGGTTCAAGCCTGGGAGCTGCAACAGTTCATAAGGTGCTAAACGTCTGGTATATTTACCCATGGCTGCAGGTTTATTTTCAAGTCTAATATAGGTTTCAATTGCTTAGTTCTTCAATAACAGCCTCTTTGTATAACTGCATCACATTGCAACAGATTCATAAAGCCTTTTGTCTCACAAATCAGACTTTTTTTCTTGCAATATTGAGTTTATCTCTCGCACTTTTTTTTTTTTTTCTCAGTTCGGGCTTGCATAAATAACACTTACGACTGACTGTCTTTTTCCATAAAGGCACACTAGTGCTGCAGCGGACGTGGTGATCATGGGTGGAGATCTGAACATGCACCCGGACGATCTCGGCACCAGACTGTTGAGAAACTACACGGGACTTCAGGACAGCTTCAATGAGGCCGTTAACTTTGATGTTAGTACTGCAGCGTGATGCTACCTGAAAATTCATAATTACTGAGTGTGTGTAATGAAAGTCACCTAGCTTTCTAAGTTATGATTTATAACGACCTCCCCATCATTAATACCAGGGATGTGAGGAGGGACACACTCATATATCTGAAAACCCATTCACAAACACGGATAATCTTGTTCCATTTGGTGGAGGAATCCGGATAGATTACATCCTGTTCAAGGTAAATATTAGATATTTGTTAAATTTTTTACTGTTTCTGTTATTAAGTGGTGTTTGTCTGGTTTAGTCATTTAAACAAAAGTAACTCGGAAGTAACTCATCCTACAGACACGAATGACCAGAAAAGTAAACAAATTATTATTATTATTAAACAAAATTATTGCTTCCATGACTGATCTACTTCTCTTTAAAACAGTTGTTCTCAATTTAAATATATATATATATATATATATATATATATA